CTGCCATGCTCTTCCTATTGATATAATAATGTACATGAGCTAGTGTGTGCTCATGTAGCGGACAAAAGTAGAAAGGGAAGTTCACCAGACATTTTGTTTACTACCATCAGCTTTGGCTTCAGTCGAATGGTGAATTCCGCTTTGACTTCTTTAGCTCGGCCAATTTTTCTCTCTTTCTGGCCATAATTTCGACCCACTCTTCTCTTAATTTCTTGATTAACTTGTCGAACCCTGGAATCCCCCTCGCCACTTGCTTGTACCGACAATTCATAAATCTGCGCAAATTGAAATAGTGCCGCTGCACATATATACAACGGTTTAGAATTCTTGACATCAAAGCTCTCTCCCCCATTAAACAAACTAACCTTTCCGGTGATGTAAATATTTATCATTACAATATTTCCCCCTCAGAAGAAACAATAATTAAAAAAATTAAAAAAGTCGTAAGAGCAACTCCAATGCTGCTCTACATTGCAATTTACTTCATAGTAATGCGAAAAGCTTGCTCCAATATTGGAGCTACATTTTCTCCCTATCACAGTATTCAGCTAAACCTAAATGTAGCACGGTACTATTCACAGCGCTACAATTTTTTTTTCTTCAAAATTTAATTTTATAATTGATTTTTATTTCTAAATATTATTTTGACAAAATATAAATCAATAGAATTACTTATTTTATTAAATAATTTCAAATTTTGATTTTATAGTTGCATTTAAATTTTATTTGTTACTAATATATTTCATTTACAGTAGCGTGAATGAGTAGAGAGACGAAAGTTAAATTTTGGCATTTTCTACTCTAGAGTAACTAAAACTCTGCAGATAATCAAATTATCTCGCACAATCATGTAGTATGTAGCTTTAGATTCGCATACCTTAATGTCTTTGCTGTACTTTCTGATGTATGGAGGGCCAGTGGTGAAATGGCCAAGAGGTTCACGGTACCACTCCCCACCATAAGTGATCTGATCCATAGCTTGCTCGATGCTCAAAACCTCCCATGGCCTCAACCCAGGAATAATTTCTGCCAGTTGATCCCTGTCTCCCAACAAAAATAGACGATAAACTTAATCATGAATTCTAGAAAGAAGTTCAAGTCAAATGGAAAAAAAAAAAATGTAACTTCTCACAAATTCATTGACAGAGGGAAAAACAAAAGATAGAACCTAATATCCCGGGGAATGAATTTGTTAGGCATGAAATCCTCTTCCATAAGTGATGTGAGCTCAGAACCACTAGCCCAGAGGAAAAGAGCGTGACTTGGAGTCCTCATGCCAGGCCAAACACCGTCATTAGCCTTTAAAACAGCTAAATCGCGGTTCTTGCTTTCATATGCTTCTTCTTGCATCTGTTTGTAGGTTTTGTGCTCGTGCCCCTTGAGAGGAACCCAAGGCGGAATGCCTTTTTGTAGCTTATGAAGAAAAGCTGTTGCTGCAGCACCTAATTTAACTGGAAAAAAGGCAAGTCATGCATAGCAGATTACACGTGAGTTGCGAATCTAAAACCGTAAGTGTTGTTTTCAGAGGAAATTTATATAAGCAGAATTCAAGCACACACCCCACAACAGATGAATAATCACGAGATTTGTGAAAAAATCCTTTGCCC